TTCTACATATATTATATATATATTATATTGTTTACCCTCTTGTTCTGCTTTCTCGTGAAGTGCAACAGCCACTCTGTCTTTAACAGATGCATATATATATATATATATAGGTATACCTATGTATGCAAATATAATATATATATATACAAGTATATATATTGTATATTATATATATATTATATATATGTTTATTGCTTACCCTCTTGTTCTGCTTTTTCAAGAATTGCAACGGCCACTCTGTCTTTAACAGATCCTCCTGGGTTTAGGAATTCGCACTTTGCATATATATTACATTTTGTTAATTGTGAAGGAACTGAAAGACGAAGAAGAGGGGTCTGCCCTACAGCATCTCTAAAGCTGTTGCATACGCGGAGAGAGGTGTATGTCTGCTGCTGCTGCTTCTGCTGCTGCTGCTGCTGCTGCTTCTGCTGCTGCTTCTGCTGCTGTTGCAGGAGAAAGGAAGAAGATAAAGCAAAACTGTGATTCAAACGCACAAAAAACAAATTCACTTCAGACACTCGAAGTAAAGGAGATAACATAGCCATAGGCGTGGAAAACATAAACAAAAACAAGAAATACGAAAATAGAAATAGAAATAAAGGGGATAAATGAAGATAACTGAAATACTGAGATCGATAAAGAAAGACAGTGAAACGAAGAAAGAAAGAGAGAGATAAATAAAGAGAAAGACAGATTAATACAAAAGAAGAAAGAGAGAGGGAGAAGGAGAAAGAAAGAAATTTGAATTGACCGCTGGAGTTGCTGCTGACTATATGGGTATTAGCGCACAGAACAGCCGTTTATTCGGCTAAATATGCAAGAAAAAACGAAGAATAATGTTATTTTATTGTTTAAATTATTAAAGAAGAGTTGTTAGTAGGAACAAGAAAAGATAATAACACGAAAATCCCCGTTGAGCCGACGTCGTTGCTCGTTGGCGACTCCGGAGTGGATAAGGAAGCAGCGCTCCTCGCTTCTATAAACGTTTGTGAGTTTAGATAAAGTATTTGATGATTTTTAAGTGCTAAATTCAATTTATTCAATGAATTTCACGAAAAAAGAGTATTTTTTGTTGTTATTTCCCTTACAGTCTTCTCCCTTGTTCAAGAAGAGGGCCCCAGTGGACGACTAGGCGTTGTTGTTCTCGTTGGCTGCCGATGCATGCAATCATCAGACAGGGGAATCTTCAACTTTTTAGGGACGGAAATCTTTTTTCATGACTTTTTAATAATAATTGTAGAAATAATATGCTCGAAAGCCATTAAAAACGCAGCTTTCTGACCTAGATTCAGCGGAGGAGGGCGTTGCGGCTTCCAGCCATTCATGCAACTTTAGGTAATGAAGAGGAAGTAATCGAGTTAAAAGTCTGCTTATTACTGATCTTTTAATTAATAAATATTTTTGTGTTCTTTTTCGCCACGATCCATCGCAAATAGACCTAAAGATCAGCTGCACTTTCTTGTGAATTTGAATACCAGATCGAGGGAAAAGAAAGCTGCATGTACACCGCAATTTGCGGTTGGTTTAAATTGGTTTCATTTGAATTTGAAATTTGTTCATATATTTTTTTCTTCTGATGGGAGCTTAGTTGCTTTTTTAACTCGGGGTTTAGTCCTCCTTTTTTGAATTTCTTCTTTTCTTTTTTCGTTCTTTTCTCGTTGCTGAAATGGAATTAGAAGAAATCATCAAGCCGTATACCCTAGCGCCTGAAGAGGCCAAACGAAAAGGCACGGACACCGCACAATCGGCTGCTGGAGGTGCAAAGCGTCAACACACAGAAAGCAGCGGAGCTGCTTCTTTCTCGGCTTCTGCTACAGAAACAGGAGGGGGAACAGCAGGAAAAATATCTTTAGAGAACTTACCTGATGAGATCGATGCAGAAGATGTTGAGAAGATTCTTGAACAAGCCGATGAAGTGCGTGTTACTCTAAATAAAATCTAACGTCTTATTCACCTTGTATGCATGCAAACGGAGGGAGAGAAGAAGCAAGAGAGCAGGAGAGACCCAGACGCTACAGACGATCAGTCATCATATATATATGATATATGTATATATATTCTTATCTGTGCGTGCATATGCAGATAGCAGCATGAATAAATATACTTTTCATGTTTAATTATACTGGAATGTGCTGTCTACTCAACAGGTACATGTAGAAGAAATCACAGAAGCATCTATTCGTCGTTGTGCTGCTCAACTCGAGCGCCGCATTAAAAAAAATCAACACGACAGAATTAAGTTTGCTTCAAATCCTGAAAAGTAAGCAGAAACAAGTAAACAAATAAACAAATAAACAAGCAAAGAGGTTTAGCTGTCTTCTTTGTGTTGTTTCATAGAAATATTATTAATATTATTATCACTATTATTATTATCATTATTATTATTACTATAATTATATTTTTATTATTATTTTATTTTTATTGTTATTAGGCTTTCAATACATCTTCGTCTTCTTCTGATAATATTCTCTCAGTTGTCTGTAGTCTTGTTGGTGGTGCTGTTCACAACATATCTAAGCGCAAATACACATTCAAATACAGCCTATACAAATATTTGTCTCTATTTATATTCATGTATGTATATATATATGTATATATATGTATATATATATGTATATATGTGAATATATATTTGTTTATTTTATCTGCAAGTATAATGCAGGCGTATGCGTGTGTAGGTGGGTTAAGTCAGAGGTGGATTTAATGCTATAACATATAAATATATATATATATATATATATATTTATAT